CGTCCATGAAGTTGTGTCTTGTTGAAGTAGAACCAGGACTAGGGCGAAGTTGGGTCATACAGACTAGCAAACTTTTTTTCATTATTTAAAGCGTAGAAGGTCGTTCGCGTTTGTTGTTGCTGAAACTTTATTATTGTGCAGTACTACGAGACGAAAAATAATGGACATAGTACTCTCAATTGTGAAGGAGTTAGTTTGCCTTGCCCTTCGCAAAACATCAGACTAGACAATCAGCTTAGTGATCTAATCAAACCTTCTGTTTCATCGTTAGAAGGAAAAGAAAGAACTGGATATCAATGCCGAGACAATTTACTGTTTGTGAATATGTTGTTGTGGCACTAGATAGCAAATCCTAATTTTTTTGCTTGAAAGCTCTTTGCCACACATTCCACTCAACAGTGTCGTTGTCTCCTGGCGCGATCACGATTTTTAGTCACTTTTCGACAGGTTATCCAGGAGCGCGAGGCAAACTTCGTCTTACTTGCAATTTTGATGGAGCTTTTTTGTGTTTCAATTTGTACGTTTAGTTGGACCTGTAAGGCCCTGTATGCAGGCGGGTATATGCTGTCCTCGTGTGTTTTAGAGACCTGCTTTATTGCCTTTCTCTTACGTTTTACCAATCTGCTGATCACTTCTTCCTTTTCATTGCCCCACTCTCCCTGTCTTTCGAGTTCAGGCTAGGGCGGCATTTGCTTCATGGTGTCTTCAAGCTACCCAGTACCTTGCTAATGCTTTTCGTCCCGTAAAACAGTAATCCCTCCCTCCCCCTTTCCGCCTTTACTGTTATTATTTTCTCTTTTTTTCTTTTTTACAGAGTCAAAGCCTGTTCGCTTCAAGAAAACTGGAAGCGTGCTCACTTCACGAAATCAAGTTGTTTGGCACTGATTACCTCGCTGAATTCTCTCCACTCCCCCTCGCCCCCCCCCCGTCTTGTGTCTTCCTCCCTTCCTCCTTTGGCGTAATTAGTGAGACCATGCCTTGTCAGAGTGTTTGTACATACGAACCCTGCCAGAAGAGTTGATTAATTCTTATCAGTGCGTCTGTGTTGTTTCGCCAATTTTAAATACAAATGACCAAAACTAAGTTGCTCTTCAGTTGATAGCCTTCGATTTTTTTCTGAGATGTTCAATTACTGGGTTTTCGCAGATCACTGAGTTTGTCGTCTCCAAGATAGCGGCTTTGGTTCACGAGGGGGGGGGGCTTTCGTTTGGACAACGAACCAGAATGCTTTTATGCACTTGCTGGAGCTCTCATTTTTCGGCCAGCGGCAGGTTGTGATTTATCAGCAGCTTTTTTCGATGATGGACGTTGTCACCTCGCCATGGCTGCCTCTGCCCATAGACCATCCCGGGAAGCCGGGTCACCTGTTTGTTGGCGATGGTACTGAGATCTGACATGCTAACTGTGCAATAAGATGTCGCAAGGCCCGGGGCCGGCACTGTGACATGTCGACCGTGAACCGTCACTAAGGAATGTCTGCTTCCCACCGCTACCCTGTAGTTAGGCTCCTGAGCCAAGAGGCCACAGGAAAACACCTCTGGTCAAAGCTGGTAAGGACCCCAGTCTAGCGACCTCGTATCGTCCATCGCCCTCCTCAGTCCACTGGCGAAGATCCTGGAACGGCTCATACATCCAATTCTGACGTCTGCGGCGGATCTGTCTTGCCATCAACGTGGTTCCAGATCAGCTCGTAACACCACAACGGTGGTCTTTGTGCTCAGCGACGCCATCTTCGAGGGCTTCAATCAACAGAAACCCCTTTTACGTACCGTGGCAATCTAAATCAGCCTCTCACGCGCTTTCAACTGCGTTCGCCATGATCGGCTCCTGCAGGACTTGGTCTCCCTGAACCTCCCGACTGGCCTGGTCCGATGGTGTGCGGCTTATATCCGTGGTCGCCACGATCGTGTCCTCTTTCGCGGCGCTCTCTCTAGGCTCCGTAAACAGACCTGCAGCGTTCCTAAAGGCTCTGCGCTCAGCCCGACACTCGTTAACATCTACATGCGAGAGCTCCCACTCCATCGGGCACCTGCGAAAGTGGTATCATACGCGGATGATGTTACCTTCTGCCGGTACCATCACATCTATGAGGCTGCGCAGCTTCTCTCGGAGTTCATGCATGATGTCGTAAACTTTACTTAGCGAAGGATGATGATCTCGGCGGCCAAGTTGTCGCTCACTGTTTTCACCATGGACCCGAAGGAGTTCAATCGTCACCCGACCACCACCGTCAACGGTACGTCTTTACCACTCGTCCGTAAGCCCGAACTCCTTGGCGTGCGTTTCGATCCGCTCTTCACGTTCGCTGGCCATGCCAGAGAGGTCGCAGGCAAAGTGAGCTGCTGCACCAAGGTTCTAGTGGGCACATCCTGGGGTTGCGCGAAAGAGACTTTAGCAACCACATTCAAAGTGCTGGTAAAGTCGCACCTCACCTATGCGGCACCAATCTGGTCTCCTACGATCAACTCTTCCAGCCTCCGCCGCCTTCAGTCAGCATTGAATGCCGCCCTCCGCTCAATCACGGGTTGGTATAAAATGTTGCCTATCGATCATCTTCATGCACAGGCCTCTGTCCTGCCGATCGGCCCTCACAACGCACTCTTAGGCCAGCAGTTTTAATGGGCCTGTTCTCAACCTGGCCATCCTAATTACCATGTTGCCACGCTCCTGAACCCAGCCGCAGCGTTCGGCCGTCTATTAGAGCTCTCCA